CACTCTGTTCAGCTTCTGCTTTCTGTATTCTGGGCAGATGTTTCATGGTAAGGGTAGACAATGAGAGCAAGATGTGGTGGCACAGTTTGTAGCATGTACCAACACCCTGAGTACAGCATCCACCAGGTCTCTGGGTATTTGAAATCAGAAATTTAGGGCTGAGAGAAACCTCAAATTTTCATCTTGATGATTTTACAGAGACTGCTGTGGTCAATTTCCTGGTAACCTTCTGTTGAGGAAGGTTCCATAACCCTCATCTTGGGGCCCTGCTGCAGTAAGAGAGAAAATACGTTGTATGATGTTGAAACAATAAATTCATCTGAAGGGAGCTCTTGAAAGCTTCCTCGGTCTGTTACCAAAAATCAGTAAAAATAAAAACTCCTTTAATGCCAGTGTAGCATCATGAAGCCAGCATTCTGTATTTGGCCAGATGCACAAGGGCAAATCTCCTCCAAAAATCATGCATGCTGAATACAGAAGAGGTCCTGTTTATATATAATATTTTACATATATGTTCATTGATTTTTCCCAGAATAAACATACATATGATAATAATTTCCCAGAAATCATTAATATATTTTCCCTCCCCTTTGGATATGTGTTCTTTTGTCCTGTGGTCTCTTTTCTGATCCTTGGCAACAGTATTTTCAGATTAAATACTTGTCTGTGAGGTTTCTGCTACTCTTAAAATGCATGTGGCACTTGAAGCAGTACACTTTAAAACACCAGGCTGAGATTGCTTCAGGAAAGCCTCCTGCATCAGTGTTATGCTATTACCTGTGACATTAACTATAAAATATTTTGATTTCTGACGTGATTCCTTCATATTTGTGGGGACCAGAGTATGTAAGTTTCAGGGAAAATGCAGGAGGCTTACTGAAATTCTTTGTATATCATGGGAGAAGGTGCTTGCACTCATTCTGTAACGTCTAGACATGCCATGAGAAATTGTCTTGAAGGAGAGATAATTCCTAAGTTCTGCCTTTTACCTTGCTTCTGTGCTACTTTGCATGGCCTTAGTGATGTTGCACAAAACAGAGGTAAGACTCACTTCCCTCAGGCTTATCTCAGTGAGTGTTTGTAGTTTTGAGATGTTGGGTCCCACTTATTGCACTGGGGAGGAACACTGGTGCTGGTTGATGGATTTCTTTGGACTTACTCCATTGTTTGTTTTGCTGCTAAATTTTGCAAGAATATTTGGGTATTCTTCTTTTTTCTTTTGTTTTGTTTGGGGGTTTTTTTGTTAATTGCTAATGCAGGAAATCTGCAGCAGAAGCACAGAAAGCTCAAGAGCAGAGAGGCGATGGTACGATGATATATTGGTATAGCATAAATAATCCTCTTCAACTATTTGCCTTTCTCAGCTCATTTTGTGTGCCATGCAGGGCTCATCTCCCTTGGTAAGAGGAGCCACTTGTGCTGGCTGTCAGTGGGGAAGAGCCTGTAGCAGTCAGTGGCAGCCGCCATCCCCCTTGTCCCAGTTCAGAGGGGGCCAGGGTGGGTGCTGCTGTGATGTGAGAGGCATTCCTTAGAAACAGAATGTGAGCTGAAAGACATCTCCTGAACTTCTCACCAGCTCTCTTTGCTTTCACACAGCAAATTAGGAAGCGGTGGAGAAAATGCTTTTGGATACTTTTGCATCACTTACAATATGACTTTTTTTCAGTATGACAGGAACCAAAGTTTCTGAAAAGCCTTGAAAATGCCTCTGAAATCTTTTTTATTAAAGCTTTAACTCACTGATTTTAAGAAAAAGGTGTGAAAGGCATGCAGAGCAGTTTGTGGTTTGGGCTTCCTACCTCATCGTTTTTGTACTTGAAAGATTATTATGGCTGTTATCTTCTTGTAAAGGTTTGAGAGAAGAAGTAAACTTTTATATATTCATCTGGGCTCTCAGATGAGAATTCTCTATTCTGCTCTTACCTGGTTTGTAACAGTTCTGAAAAACACCTAATTTACTTTTCTCCCTGAACAGCTGCAGATTTTGGTGTGTGAGCAAAATAAGGGTAATAAAAAGCCGCAGCAGGGATGCAAACACAGCAATTTTTCTCTTAGCTACGTGTGTAAGCAGAGGTTCCAGAGCATACATTTAATGGCTGTTTCTTTTGGTGTATTAGCCACTGAACCCTTGACCTGGACCAACTGGCTGGTTGCTATGGCAGCCGGCTGCACAGTAACACGTTTTGTTCTTGGGTTGAAATCGTCTTGCTTCTCTTAAGTGTTCATTTTGAGGAGATCAGAAGAAACTAGGAAATTCTTTTTTCAAAGGAGAGGCAAAAATATTAATGTTCAGCTCCCTGAGGATCTGCAGAGAGGCATTCTTTGTTCCCTCAAGAAGGTAGTCTTTCCCCACTTTGTTGAAGCAGAGGTCAGCAGCTCACCAGCAAAAAAAAAAAAAAGAAAAAAAAAAGTAGTTTTTGGAAGCAACATGACTGTAGGAGGTTCAGTTTGTTTGCTCTACAACTCCAACTCCCAATCCCGCTGAAGGCAATGGGAAAATATTAACAGCTTAACACTCCACTAACCTTGAGAATTTCTGAACTTAAAGTAAGCTCCTGAACAGCTCTTTTCAAGCTGGACTTGTGAGAGACTGGAAAGATTGATGTCTTGAGATGTTTTGGGCTGCATGTGTGTGGAGGAAGGGGCAGTGCCCTGCCCTGTACACCCCCACCCTGGAGCCTGTATCCCAGCCTGGCAGTGGCTGCCAATCCCTGGCACAGCACAGGCAAGGCTCCACCCCACCTCTGGAGCCCCCAGCTCAGCTCCTGAGTGGCCAAATGACCAGAAGTCCCACCTGGGGGAAGGGCCCAGGAAGGTCAAGGGGTATTTAAGACCCAACACAAGGCAGTCGGATATCTTGGCTGTACTGCTGGAACCCAGGAGCTGGTAGCTATGTTTGGTTTTTTCTATATCTTTTCTGGTTTTCTTTCTTTCTCACTCTCTCTTCTAATTCCCTCTTACTGGACTTTGAAGTAACTTAAAATTGAACTGTCTTTGAGTTTGAAGGTTGAATGAGCCAAGTTAATGCTTTAAAAGGTGTTATCTGTTGATTGAATGTTGCGCTAAACTTGCCAAATTTGTCTGATTTTCTAAAGTTGCCAGTAAAATGTTTTTGTTGTTTTGACCTCTTGAGAGTATCTTGGTATTTCTCCTGTGCATCTAACTCAGAGTACATGAATGACCATAAACCCTTTCAAAAGTCTCAATGATCATGGTTGCTTGGAGCCTTAAAATACTAAAAGAACTTCTTGCTGTGATAGAGGCCAAACACTGTGGCAGGGGCATGGGAGGTTAAAGGGTTGCCAGCCATGGGGGCAGTCAGAACTCAGCATGGAGAGCCGTGCTGAGTGCAACTGAGTGACCTTCTGGGCTCCTTCCAGCTGAGGTCATTCTGCAAGTCTGTCTCTTTTTTCTCTTTGGCCACAGAGAAAAGCAAATGTGATGGAGAGCCCATACCAGGACTTTGCCTGTGGGTGGTACTGAAAGTGAGTTTTGTGTTTACATTGTCCTCCTTTACCACACCCCCCCTCCCCCTGCACCTCAGCCCTACACACTTCTCTTCCCTGGTGAATAGTGTCATCATGCCATACCTCAAATACTTGGTAATAAAATGTCACTGTAATTCCCCTAGAGAACTCTTTGATATATCACTAATTTATTTTCTTAGACTAAACATGCTGCTACACTAAACCTGCTGCTCTGTGTTTTACCTTTGTATCTTTTTGGCATATGTAAAATGAGTGGCATTCAGCACAATAGGCAGGAGCTTAAAGGAAAACCAAATACAGACATGGCATGTGATTGGAGGGGGGATCTTTTTTCCTTTGTGCCAGCAGCTGTCAACCTCTTGCACTGCCAAAACAGTCCCTTATGGCTTTGTTGCTGCATTGTGATCCTGTCAGACAAGAGGCACAAGGAGGAGTTAAGGGGGTTGTCCACTTACCCATCTCAATCTCAGAAAGATGTGAAGGGCTGCAGCCAAGCAGTGTAAACAATCTGAAGAGTTCACTCAAGTGAAGGGATTGGCAGTGGCAGGAAGAAGACTGAAACAAGAAACAGAGATTGAAGGGATGCTTTCATGAGATGGAAGGAACAAAAAATGAAGATCTATCTGATCTGACTCATTTTAGACCATTTTCCTGTAAATCTTCAATTAATTTACAAAGTGTTTGTAGTCCTCAGGGTGCTGGAACAGTGCAGGTTTGAAAGGTTTCATCAGTTGTCAAGTGCTTCTGCAGATCAACAGCAAATCATAAGACCAACAGAAGAATTCATTGCCAGAGGCCCAGAGCCTAGCCAGTGAGTGCAATACCTGTCTCACCCTCCATACCATGCACTTGTGTCAACAATTGCATTTGCGAGATGTAAATCTTAAAGAGATGCCTGCTTGTCATTAAAGAGATGGCAGAGCTTTCTTTGGGCATGGAGATGTCAAGCAAGCATCTTGATCAGCTTTGGTGGCTGGTTACAGCTTGGCTTTGTAGGCTGTGCTGGTGGTTATGTGGGGAACTCAAAGATGCTCCCTGCTTCCTGTCCCAAAGTATTCCATGCTGCTGAGAATCACTGGGACTGTCTGTGTGGCACCATGCTGCAGGAAGTCAGCAGCATTTATATAAAGCTCTGCTGGGGTTGCAGAACCTTTTGGCTCTGTTCCAGCTTGGAAGTGGTGCTATAAATAGAAGAATGTCTCACTTTTGAAGTCTGCCTTCTATTCACGGAAAGGAAGAACTTTGCTGGAGCTGTGATTTAATAGCTGTTAAATACTCATCTCAAGACCAGTCCTATGACAGGCTGAACTGCTGGATCCCATTTCAATGGGATGTGAGTGAGCTCAGTAGCCTATAGCATCACATCTGTTAGCTGGTTGCTGACACCTGAATAAGGTTTGGTGCTATGACAGCAAGAGTTCAAGAGTATCCATTCTCACACCTTCCTTCCCAGTTGCACTTGTCCCTGTTACATGAAAAAAAAAAGCTGCCTTTTTTTTTCCTTTTGGACAGATTAGCAAAATGTTTGGGACAGTGGTGGTTGGAGTTGGAATTGCTGGCTTAGCACGAATTCGAGACTTGATGAATCCGATGCCTTCCAGCCCTTCTGAGCACCTGAAACTCATTGGATTTGTATCCAGGTTAGAAATTTCATCTTACCATGTCTAATATCTATATTGCAATATTTTTTCTTCTTTTTCAAGCCAAGAAGGGAAAATTTGTGCAAATATGCCTGTCATTCTGAGTGGCAGCTCAGAAGAGAGTGCAGAAAGATTTGCAAGAGGGAACAAATAGGTTACTCTAGTGAGAGATCTTTCAGAAATTACTAAAATAAAAACTGAGAGACGTTTTTGCTGTAGAATCTGTGTGATAACAAGAAATTGTCTGACTGGAATTTCCTGTAGATTTAAGGTTGTGCAGACAATAAGTGCACTAATGATCTCGTGTGTGCATGGCACTTCTAGAAATGTTAAAAAAGTAAGTTTTGTAGAGTTTTAAGAAGTTCTTTTGCAAAAACATGTTTTAATGCCCCCAATACTCCAATTTCATAAAGAAATTAGTATTTTTTTTAAACCAGGTATCGAACCTGTAATTATCTGAAGAAAATGCCATTATTTGTTACATGCAGTAAGGTTGCTTTTTATCCCTCTTATGCCTCTTAAGAACAACAGTTTTTCTCACTAGTTTGGAATGGTGGAAATTTAGTGTGGACCTTCCTCTGAGCGTTCCTGCTGGACTGTCTGACACATTACAGTGGAACATAAAAGTTTGAAACAGTTAGGCAGGACCTTTAATGGATCTCACCCTGTGAATGTATTTTTCCAGCTATATCTAAATTGTGCAGCATTGTTTGAGACAGAAAGGACTGATCAGGTCACCCACTTTATATTCCTGCCAAATACATTTATGGTTCTCTGATGCCTCTGTCAGTGCTACAGGTAACCTTGAAGAGCACTGAAGATAGGGTTTCTGCCACTGGTTTTTTGTGGGAAACAATGCTGTTAAAATGCATGATTCACAGAAATCTTCCTTGCATCCCCATCACACACAATTACCACCTGTCTTTGCTTTCAAGTCCTGCTTGTAGCCTGCTTTCTTGCCCCCTGTCACCTCTCCTAACACTGTTCCAGCCAGTAGTAATGCAAAGGGCTTTTGGAGGGGTTGTGTTTTTCATTTTCAGCTGGAGCTGTGCTCAGCTTACTGCCCAAGAGAGCTTTCCCCTTAGCACTGGCATGCTGTGTGTGTTGCAAGGTAAGCCATCACAGCCAAGCATCTGCTTTGTCCCTCTCCTGCTTGTCTGTACTTGTAGTTGTGTGCATCCCTGCCATCTCCAGTGCTTTTGTCCACATTGTCCAGGATGGTGGGGAGAAGTTCTCCCCTAGGAGCACTGTCCTCTTTCAAGTCACTCTTTTACATCTCTTTGGTAATAATGCTTATTCAAAACCAACACACCAACACCAAAAAGAACTTGGCAGTTCAATAGCAGGCCAGTTTCTGGACTGATACCACTGCCTGCACACTGGTCTGTGGGATTTCTGGGCTGTTCAGATGGTCTGGGGAAAAGCCCAAAGATGGCCTTGGGCCCCCGGGTTCGAAAGGACGAGAGGAAGCTTCAGATTTGTTCTCGGTCTCGGTGTTTATTAATTGCTTATCTAAAAGATTTTCTCTTGGCCTGACAGAGTTCTGCTCAGCAGTCAGCCATGGGCACACACTGAAAGCCCCTGGGGCGGTCACCTATCTTTATACCCGGAGTTACGTATACAATATTTATCATTTTTCTCCAATACCCTCTACCCTTATTAACCAGTGTTCCCCTAGTAAGGTCCAATCCTGGAGTGCCAACATCACCACAGAAGATGGAGGCCCAGAGGAAGAAGAAGAAGGAGAAGGGCACGCCCCAATCCCTCCATCTTGCCTCTCTAGACCCCCCTGTACAGGGATCTTAAACCCTGTATCTCACACTCCAATTAACTTGTCCCTTCACCATTCACCCCAGTGAAATCCTCCCGTCCTCATACTGATGTCATCTCCCATGTGGGATCAAAGTCCAGCCACCAGACATCTCTGGCAGCATTCCAGGACTCCCGAGCCCCCCAGGGGGGGTCTGGTTCACCCTGCGCCCCAGTTCTGAAAGACTGAGATCCCACATCTCCCCCTTCTGTTTGCACCAAAAGACCTTTTTTTGCTTTTATGTGAAAACCCCCCAAAGTCCTCAGTTTCTTTTCATTTCTCTTCTGGGTCGTTTTTCGCAGCCCGAGTCTCGACTTCTGTCTGAGTACTCGTCTCTTTGTTTCTTGGATCAGCATTCTCGTGTTCTCGCGTTCGGAATGGCTTCACGTGCCGTGCCGACACCCACTTCAGACCTCGATCTGTGGAGATACAAGCGAAACCCTTTCCCCAAGTGATTAGTCTGAAAGGGCCCTCTATTTGTCCGGTCTCTGGGTTCCTGATCAAAACTAAAGGATTTTCCCTTAGCTTTGCCTGTGTGTTGTTTAGAAAATGTCTCACGATCGGTGGATCAGATGGATAATCCCTTTGTTGTGTTAACATTGTCTTCTTCGAGGTGCTTTTCTTTTTATATATTGTTGGAAAAAATTGCTGCATTGTTGCAGTCTCGCCACGAGATGGCGCTGTGGCTTCGCCGAGCCGACCCGGCATGTCGTGCACTTCTGCCCTCCTGCCACTAGGTGGCGCTGTCACCGGCCTCCCTGGCTCGGATGACGGTGCAATCTCGACTACCCCACTTCCTCTTCCGGCTCGGCGTCTCCCATGAAGGGAAGGAACTGAAACTCCGAGGCTCGGGACCAAAGGCGCCAGATCTGGAGACGGAGTGGAGCCCTGGGACGTAGAATCCCTAGCACGGCCCCTCCTCACCCGCGACGTCACAGGGGACCGGGCTCGGGCCCGCCCGCGTCTTACTCTCTGCGCGTGCGTACTCTCTGAGCTACTTCCGGTGTCCCCCAAGGTGACGTCATCATCGTCTCCCCCCTGTTTCACCTCCGAGGTTCCCGCCCCTCGGTCTGTCCCGGAATCCGACCCCTCCTCCTCTGACGTTGTGTTCGCCTCTGCCGCCGGCACCCTGGCTCTACCCGCGATTCGAGCTGACCGTCGCACCGGCTCTGACGTCACACCCGCGCGCCTCCTGCGTCCCACCGCGGCGGCCCTCTGAGGCTGCAAATTTTCCCTCAGCCCGCCTTCCGCGTTCGCGTGTGAGTCTACACCCCGGTTTTTGCGAGTTTCGCCCTCCGCGCGCGTGTCCTCATCCTCACCCGCGCTGCTCGCGTTTGCCGCCGCCGCCGCGTCGCCGCTTTCACCGCGAACAGGCCCCCCCCCCGATCCTTTATCTTCCTGCTCCCCCCCTTCTGCTCCTGACTCCTCCACACTCTCTGGAGTTTCAGGACGCCCTTGGGGTTTGTTGCATTTTTTGATCGGGGGTTTTAATATTTTTTCCCGCTCTCTTTTTTCGAGAGCCCTTTCCCCCTGGCCTTTCAAAGCCAGAGCAATTTTTTTTCCGGAGCTCTGCCGCTCCGCCCCCTCCTCTGAGGGTACCGCAGCTTCTCGCTGCTTTTCCAGTTTTTTAGACTGGACTGAAATACCTTGTAACATGATTCTTGCCGGCGAGAGTAGCTTTAACGCTGTCTCATCTTTTTTTGTTGCTAAAATATATAAATGCCTATTAATCTCTTGCCAAAACCCGACTTCGAACAAAAGATATGTTTCTGCAAGTGGGTAATTGAGCCTTGCCCATAATAACAGCTGTTTTAATTCTTTCTTTGGGATCCCTTCTGTATATAATTCTGCTACACTTTGTAAGGTGGATAAGATTTCCCGTTGTTCTTGGGAGAGTGTTGCCCCCATAATTTTATAATTTTATTTTGGCCTTCTTACCGAATCCGTCGTCAGCGTGGTCTGGAGGCCCTTGTTCTCCGTCCAGCAGATTACGAGGGATGGATCAGAGGCGCCTTTCTGGTCCCAGTCCAGGCCGCTCTGCTACGAGCTGTCTTCAGCAGAAGCTGAGAGATGGGATTTCTCAGTGACTGCTGGTTTTTGCAGCTTCTCCCGGCCGGTTTTTTCTTTTTCTTCTTTCTTTCTTCAGGCTTCCCTCCTCTGGAGTTATCAGTGCTGTTCTCTTGGCTCTTCAGCTCTTCAGGGCTTTCCCCCCCCCCCGAAAGGTTTGGTGGGAGATAGCCCGCACAGCGGACGCCAATTGTGGGATTTCTGGGCTGTTCAGATGGTCTGGGGAAAAGCCCAAAGATGGCCTTGGGCCCCCGGGTTCGAAAGGACGAGAGGAAGCTTCAGATTTGTTCTCGGTCTCGGTGTTTATTAATTGCTTATCTAAAAGATTTTCTCTTGGCCTGACAGAGTTCTGCTCAGCAGTCAGCCATGGGCACACACTGAAAGCCCCTGGGGCGGTCACCTATCTTTATACCCGGAGTTACGTATACAATATTTATCATTTTTCTCCAATACCCTCTACCCTTATTAACCAGTGTTCCCCTAGTAAGGTCCAATCCTGGAGTGCCAACATCACCACAGAAGATGGAGGCCCAGAGGAAGAAGAAGAAGGAGAAGGGCACGCCCCAATCCCTCCATCTTGCCTCTCTAGACCCCCCTGTACAGGGATCTTAAACCCTGTATCTCACACTCCAATTAACTTGTCCCTTCACCATTCACCCCAGTGAAATCCTCCCGTCCTCATACTGATGTCATCTCCCATGTGGGATCAAAGTCCAGCCACCAGACATCTCTGGCAGCATTCCAGGACTCCCGAGCCCCCCAGGGGGGGTCTGGTTCACCCTGCGCCCCAGTTCTGAAAGACTGAGATCCCACACTGGTCCATTTTTTTTGGTTCTCTTCTCCATTCCACTTTTGTCTGTAAGTGCTCATGCTCTTCCTGGATAAAAAATTGGTTGTTATACCGTGGTTGAACTCAGTGAGACAGTGGTCCATGGGAGCAATTTTTAAGTACTGCTATGCAACATGTGCTTGGGAAGAATGGACTGTGACAGTTATGATCTGGTTGTATTTATGCTAAATGTACAGGAGAAGTTTTGGCAATATTAATGAGGCTAAGCAGATTAGCCTGGAAGATGCTCTGAAAAACAAAGACATCCATGCAGCCTTCATCAGCACAGAGAACAAAAGCCATGAAGAAACCATCAGGTATTTTGGAGGGTTTTCTCCCTGTTCTTTTTCCCCTTTCCCCTCTATTTTAGAAACACAGAGGAGCTGTGTAAAGCTGTTGCAGGAGAGGATATGAACACTGAGGAAAGACTGCCAGACTAGAAGCCTGAAGTGAATGATAGTGAGTTCCCTAGAGCACCAATAAGCCCTGGAAGAGAGTAGGATTTAAGATGCATTAATTTCCCAAGTAATTCCATTTCTGCACCTCTAGGCCTGTGCTTGATGGACAGGCAGCTTAAAACAGGATTTAAAGCCTTTCCTTACAGATTATATTGTGGAAGGGTAGTCCAGTGCCCCACTCCAACTGCTTACATGTCGGTAAGTCAGAAATTGCAATGCTTAATGCTGTAGCATTTTAGCAACTTGATGTAGGTGAGTGAGGGAATTCTGTGCCAAAAGAAGAATTAAAACCCCACTCCCCTGCTGTTTAAGTGCATGATGTAGCCACCACACCATCATTCCTAGGAAAGTTACCATTTGTTTCTGTTACTCCATGTTGTGCGTTGTCTCCATGTGAAGCTGGCTGTGGGAATGAGAAGCAGCTTGCATGGTGAGAGAGGATTAGGATGATATTCTTTTTAATGGCTGATCCTTTATCCCTTTCAGAACGTTCTTAGAAGCTGGGAAACATGTCCTTGTTGAGTACCCCATGGCTTTGTCTGCTAAGGCAGCCCATGAGCTCTGGGAGATGGCTGAGCAGAAAGGTAACACATTTGTTCTCAAGCATGTAAGCAGTTTTACCTGTTGGGTAGCACCAAAGGCACTAACTCAAAGGCAAGTCTCCAGCCTACTTTTAGTCATCACATGCAAGGGAGTATGACTGTCCCAGAGATGTGCCAGTCTAGGATGTAAAACTTGTGCCAACAGAGGAACAAACACACAAACTTCAATGCTAGGAGTAGGGTATGTTTGCCCTCACAAAAACTCTAGCCTCTATTTGTGACACTTAGAATGCAGTTAAAGAGGAAAACTTCTGTCACTGTGATAGCTGCACTCATCAAGTGCTTTACTATTGAACTTGTGCAATTCCCTGTCCTCTCTCTCCCTGGAAATGAAACTGCAGACAGCTCTCCCAGCTTCCAGCATTTGTGATGTGCTGGCTCACACAGCTGCTCATGCTACTTTAGGCTAGCAAGGCATTCCTGTCTGAAGGACAGCTTTTCTATAAGGAAAATCTCTTTATTTCCAGAAAGTGTGTGGTCCCATCCCAGTGGTGCAAAGGGTCAGAAGCTGGCAGTCAGCTGGGGCCAGTGGGGATGAATGGGGCTGCAAGGGGAAGAGCAGTGCTGGGCAGAAGTGGAGTGCAAATCATTTGGACAAGCTGCACTTTTTATACCACTGCTTCTTAAAGATCTCCTTTGTGACTTTTGTCCTGAAACACTGGAGGTGTAGGATTTCTACTTTGCTGTTTCCCTGTACCAACACCAGTTACTGCCTTGTTGCTCAGCAAATGGTTTCCCATTGAGCAGAATTTATGGCTTTTTTTTTTTTTGAAGCAGCAGCAGCAGTTACTGTCAGCAATCTACAATGATTCTCCTGGAAATCTTCCAGAAAAACACATACTGAATGAAGGACACATTTAACTTGTAGTGGATAACCTCTATTTCAAAGTAGCCCAATTCATTACAGTTGGAGTTACTTAACATATTGTTCCAATCTGGGTCTGAGCATTATGCTATTTTTCCCCTTTCTTTTTCTTTCCTACTGGCCTGGGAGGAAAAATGCAGAACAAGGAAATGTGAGGGGAAAGAGGCCAAGAATTAATCCATCCTTTACTGTGAAGACTCAAATTTCAGCCTTAGCTGGGTGCTGGCTTTCATTACAGAGTTTCTGTTAAACATAGTGGCTGCTGTTCCTGCAGTCTCTGTATTGGTTGTCTCCTGAAAATCCTTAACCCAAATTGATGCTTCAGCTCAGGGCCCGTGTTTCCATGTTTGATTTTCTTCCTGACATCACTTTGTGAGCCATGCATGATTATTTCTGTGTAAGTTCCCGCTGGTTGCTAGTGAAGCCTTTACTGTTCAGACATGACTTTGATTCACACAGAAAACTTGTATTTAATCTGTCCTGATTTTTTTTTTTGTGGTTTTTGTCTTGTTTTGTTATTTCAATGGCAGGTAAAGTACTCCATGTGGAGCATATTGAACTTCTTACTGAAGAGTACAAGCAGCTAAAAAAAGAGGTGGCTGGTAAAGACCTGGTGAAGGGAACATTGCATTTCACAGGTCAGTAGCTCTGAACAAATCAAAAGTCCATCTGGATTTGTTCCCCAGGGATACCAGTGCTGCCAGACTTCATTCAGTCCTTTCACACAGGACTGTCTATAAACTGAGTAGAGACACAGGTGCTGGTTTTGGATAATTCCCTTGTTGAATCCACATACACCCTTCTGTCCTCAACACGTCCTGAAGGGTTTGTTGTATATGTACTTTGTGCAGCCTTCTCTGCCACAGCTTGTCAACTGATCCATTTCGACATTAAATGTGTTTATTGACTTTCCTACTCAGTCCATCCACTGACCTTTCTACACCCTGATCTTTAAGCCTGCAACACTGCAGTTTCTTCATCCTTTCCTATGCAGAAGACATTATTTTGTTTCCTGTTCCTCAAGAGTTTCTATTCCACCAGGCAGTGTCCTTGATGAAAACAAATCAGGATTCCCAGCTTTCAGTGGAATTGCCCGTCTGACGTGGCTCATTGACCTCTTTGGAGACCTCACTGTTACCTCTGCCACCAGAGAGAAGCAGAAGGATAAGAATTATTCCAGAATGACTGTTCACTTTCAGACAGCAAACAAAAAGTGAGTAATGTCTGTGGCAGCACGTGAGCCAGGCTCCTCATCATCTGCAGGACTTCTGCCTGCAGGAGTTCTGCATTCTCTTCTCCTCTTGTGGAAACAGAATGGGTGGAGACTGGCATGAAAATGTACATATCTTTTAAAGATGCATTTTATAATATTGAGTTTGATCTCCCTTTTTTATGTGGTGACAATATCCTTCCTGTCCACTAGGATATTTTTAATAGCCTTGCTAAAAAGTCGTATATTAGAACTATCAAGTAAGTCCCCAGTATTTAATTCTGTCGCATGACTACTCAGCTTGGTCCAGAGAGTGGTAAAAACTCTCAGGTTTGGTCATTCTGGGTCATCTGTGCAAAGTTCATGTCCTTTCAAATAAGTTGAAGTTACTTACAACATCAGTTTAAAGCAACCAGATACAATTTGAGAATTATCTGATATGAAAAGGTAAAGAGAAATTATCCAGTGGTGATAGAACTCCTGGTTCTTTTTTTTTCTTTCTTTTTTGATTGCAGATATGCTGATAGACCTCTTAAGAAACCCAAACCTAGCCCAGCTTTTTAGATAAATATGCAGTTAAAGTAGTAACCTGAAGGACTAGCTATTTAAGGAGTGAATAATCAGGACTCCTTTAAACTCCTAACTTCACCACAGGTCTGGTTAAGCATTTCATCAGCCACTCTACAAACCCATTGCAGTTTATCATGGGATTATCATCTTGTTTTAGCAATCTTCCTCTCTCTTTAAATAAAACAGCATTTCCAATTCCTTTTGAAATGCACTTGTGAGAGGACAGAACTCTGTATACAAGCTCTGTTTACCCTCTTAGCAATTTGCTAGTAACATAAGTAGCTGTGAAGATCTAGATAGGGTGAGATTTTGAACTAAATCCAGCAGATGGAACTAGCGGGTGGTTTAAACATTTCCCTGGCTGTCCTGTCTCCTGGGTAGTCCTTAGCTGCTATGTATGATATTTGCTGCATACAGAACAGGTTCTGGATTGCCTTTTTTTTTTCCTGCTCCTCTGCACTAACCAATATTTGCTTCTCTTGGCCACTACTATTTGTATGGATCAGTGTCTTCTCACCATAAGTGTTTTAATAACTTCAGGGACAGTCAGTTTTATGCCCGTGGGATAATTTAGGGTGGGTGGAAAATTACATAGCGTTCCTGTATTGTGTTCAGTGCTGGGGCCATATTTCCTGCTGACCTTCCCCCACTGACGTCAGGGGAGTTACTGCTGTAGAGAATTTGGCCCACTCTCTGTCAAGTGAAGTTATGGCCCAGCAGTAATGGTGGTGGTGTTACAGATCTAATTTTTCCAACCTTTATTTTGCTGAAGGATGGGAAAGGTCTGTACCTTTCATGAGAGCTATCCCATCCTTTTTTGAAAGACATAATACAGTAACCTTGAGAAATCAGGTTAATTCATCCTATTTTCTGCCTTGGAAAATACAGCAGGTGCAGAATGCAGGAGCCTGTGTTCTGCTTGTTAAGCAGGGATTTGTGTAAAGGGTATAGTCTGTCTCCAGTGCACAGCCCACCCTCGCTGCCTGTCTGGCTCTGGGTGGATTTTGGAGGTGTGTGTTAATGCCTGCACCCAGCTATTTGAGAGATGACCTCTGCCTCTGTTGTGTGTCCAAGACAGCTGAGCTGACAGCCTCTCTGTGATACAACATTGAGCAATCCAGGAAGAGCCAAGCCTCTACTGGCAGTGCGTCTGGTCTGGGACTGCAGTTCCTGTCCCAGGATTGCAAAGCTTGGATTCAGTAAATGTCAGAAATCAATTTTTAGTGCAAGCTGGAGAGATAATGATTTGGGCAGCATTTCTTTTAATGTTAACTAGGGGTAGGGTTCAATTGTCTAATTCTTATCCAAGCTGAGGGAGCCTCTCATTGACTTAACAATAAATTAAAAATATTGGCATTTTCAAAGAGTTAAAAGGAAAATGTTTAAAAGAAGTTGAAGACATTTCCTAAACATATACTGACAAGAAACATTTGAAGTTATGTTTTTATGGAGAGCTAAGCTTACAGAGTCTAATAAAATATCTTCCAATTGAACATTCATAGAAAATGATGTCACAGATGCTTTCTGCAGAAGTCGCTGTATAAAATTTTAAGCTGAGTGGACCCAGAATTCTTTCAAGCATGAAACCAGCTTAATTCCTCTGGCAGTACAAAGAGTGTTGTCTTCATATTGGTTTGTTGAGCTGTTGCAGTCCAGCGAGGTTCACTCATTATTTGAGGAAAAAGGAGTTAGAAAAGCAAAAAAAGTTTTTCACTTTTTTGGTGTAGCTGAGAAAATGTTACCAGTTTACATTTTGGAAAGACAAAATGGCCATAGAAAGTCAGGGAGTTTTCTTTGCTGCAGACCATTTGCTTTGCAGTCAGTATAAAGGTGGTTTGTTAGTGCTTGATTAAATTTTCTTTTTCTTCAACTACCCAACATATGTAACCCAGCTTTATTCAGATATCAAAAATTTGGATTTGTTGCTTGTAAGTAACGCTCCTGACACTTCTAAATAACTAAATGTATCTGTAGCTAGATAATACTTTGCTACAAATCTTTAATGAAAGTGGATAAATTGTCTATGAAAAAAGCTACAGCCCTTCACAATTTTCTGATAAAAAATACAAATCTGTTTCTTAAGCTACAAAATTGCTTAAATAATGTGCGGGCTTGCAACATACTTATCTTTATAGCAAAACAAGAGTCTTATTTCAGAGCAGAAGTTGTTGTTAATTAAAAATGGATACATTTTGCTAACAAATCAAGTAGAATCAACTTCTCTTTGGGAATGTGACTAAAAATCCAATTGCAGAAGAAGATAAATCTATTAGTAAATCCAACATTTTCCTCCTTGCTGATCTAAATCAGTCATTCTAATCACTTGGAATAAATTATGCCCGCTCTGCATGCTTGTGCTTCTGGTTCAGTGGCTTCCCAAGCTAGAGCAGAAGGCATACACTTGAGCCTGATCACTGGTGTGCATCTGCTCTGGATCACCCCAAGGAGGTGATCCTGCACTGACAGGGCCTGCTTTGGATCATATCAAGAGCTCTTTGCTATTACATGATAGAAATCTTTGCCTGTGCCTGCCCAATGGTTTCTTCATGTCTACCCACCTGAGATAAAGCAGCTTTGAGTAACAGTGGCCTGAACCCTCTGTGACTCTTTACTATCATAGGAATATGAAACCAGCTCTGTCAAGTCAGAGCAAAGCCCAGCTTGCTCAGCAGCCTGCCTCTGACCCAGATCAATGGCCTTTACCTCAGGGAAGTAGGATGGGAACACGAAAACACTGAGCAGTACGCCCCCCAAACACCCTTCTGGCTTGCAGTGACATGCAGTCCTGGGACTTCCTAAAACACATGGTGCCTTTGCATTTATTAGTCTTCTGAGATTTTTTGGGGGGGCATTTTTGCAGGCTGTGATTTGGGTATTTTTTCCCCCTCCACTTGTTTCATTCTGTTCAGTCAGGTTCATCTGGCCATGCTTAATTTGTAGGGAAGTGGTGGAGATGTGGAAGTACAGGTGAGCAAAGAATAATTGATATAATGATTTAAATATAGAAACTGAATCCAAGACCATAAAAGATAAGATGTGCAGAAACATTAAGCTGAGCATTCTGCAGAATGTGTTCAGGGCAGATTGACAAGGACTTTGTTTCCAGATCTAATGATACCAAAGATTTAATGGGCAGGACTTGGAGACAGAATTTATTCTTCCAGGCTATTGATGCCTTCATAATTTGTGAGTGGCAGACTAAAGTAGGCCATAAAGGACTGTGGAAGGGCCATCAATAACCAAGTAAGAAAAATAATGTGCATCCTCTAAACACAGGCAGTAGTGAGTGCTGATGAATGAGCTGCAGGAAGGCAATGGTGCGGCTCAGGCAGCTGACAAAAGACCAGGGAGCATTGTGACTGTGGTTGATGTTGAGGGCCATTCCTCAAAGGCATTGCAGTGTTGGGTCTAGGAGTCTGTTAAGACCCCTGAAGTGGCACAGCATGTCCTGTGGCTCCTTTCCCTCAGCCAAGAGGGGAGGTTGGGAAGGAAGGTGTGAGCTATGCAAGTCAATAGCCAATACCACCAGGCTTGCTTTGGAAACTGTGCTATCGTGTTGGTGTAAGACAGGACTCTGCTCTGATTAAGAAAGGCCTGCTTGAGAGTCTGTGTAGGTATAATTTTAGGATCAGCACAATGCTCCCAGTGATGAGAATGAAAGATTTTAAAAGTTCAGAGAGCATGGACACATGTGTTTGTGTCAGTGAATTTGTTCACTGGGGTTCAGCTCGCATAGTAGCACCTGGGTCATCATTATGTACACGTGTGACTTAAATCTGTTCTTGCTGGAGGCATAACTAGACTTTGAGGGCCTTTTGAGTTTAGCTGTGGCTGAATTATGTACTAAATATTTGGATATTTAACTGCACTTTTCATCCAAGTCCACAAACAAACAGCCCACAAACTTCCCTCTTCCTTACGATGTGGCTTGATGTTGCTTGCTTCACTTTGTGCATAGGGAAAACAAAGCTGGACAGAGCTTAGATGGCGGGCTGAAAGTCATGGCATGAAACAGTGGCAGAGTTAAGACTATTACCCACTGTTGAGCTCTATAACCACAAAGCATGTTAGTCAGGACACATTGCCTAAGTATGCAATAATTGATATTCAAAAGTGTTGCATTTATCAGAGTATTTTCTGTAAATACTAAGAAAACAACACAAATTAAGAATCGTTGATTTAATTTCTTAATTAATACTTTTTCTCTGCTCCTTCCCACTAGACCCTTGACTTGGATTGAAGAAAGAGGACCAGGGATGAGACGTGAAAAGAAAATCAACTTCTGTTTCACAAGTGGTTGCCTGGAGAATTTCCCTGAAGCCCCAAGGTCTTCTGTGGGCCTTTTCATGCAGGATCAGAACCTCTTTGCCAAGAAACTGCTGGGCCAGGTCTCCAAGGAGGAGCTGGCGGCTGAGAAATGGCGAATTTTGCGGTGTCTTGACCTTGCCGAGGTGATCCAACAGTACTGTGAGGAGCCAGAGAAAATCTATTCCTGAGACTGCTCTTAGGCAAGGAAGAACATGGCAGACAGAAAAGCTGTAGGGCTAGAACTCACTGTTGTCATCAAGCAGTTGCTATTTCTGTTTCATTACCTTCTTTTTGAGTACTTGTGATTCCTAGGCTCTCCAGGTGTTCTGGGAGAGTCTGGGCTATGCCCTGTGCCTTCTGGTTTGCACCAGAGCAAAGCAATTCCCCTGCTCTGATGCATCCCTGTCCTTTCAGGTAGTTAGGAACATAGCAACAGCAAGCTTTGCTGTGATTCAGCTGGGAATATCCCCGACAGTAGATCCTGCAGGACTGTAAATACTATATATAATTCTCTCTCCCAGGGTCCGTCCCCCCATTCCAGATATGTCTGGAAATGAACATGTCTCAATAGTATTCATGTACTATTTTTGACAATGAAGTTCCAGTTCAGTTTTCCACCTCTTTACTTGAAATACAGAACTTGTGCCACCACAGTCTTGACCTTTTCTTCCAATTGCCCTGAATAGTTCTGTGTGTTTGCTCTAATTAGTAGTCTTGCCTGTTAGGTATTGGGAGGGGGTGGTTTGTGTGTTTTTTGGGTTATTTGGGGTGGCTGGTTTTCACACTAGAGGTCAACTATGGTCAAATTAAATCTGTGTTGGTATCAAACCAGAATAGAAGAAGAATCTTGTCTCTTGATAGAGAGATGTTGATTTCATTCAGTTTCTCTGGTGCCCTGTGCCAACATAGAAATCTTTTCCCAGCAGAGATGAGAAACATGCATTGAACTAATGCATTGCCTGCCTGCTCTCTACTGAACCTAAATATTTTTGGTTTTGTACTGGAAGCAGCATATTATTCTCTTTCATTTGTGTTCTAATTTGGCGTGGGAGTGGATCATAGCAAAAAATAATAAATATCTTGCATTTAAGAAAAGAAAATCGCTAATGCACTCCTGGAAACAGAGAAATTTGGAATAGTGATAAATTTAGAATAGCATTGTAGAAATCAGCAATTTGCAGATACATCCATGTGTTTATGTCGTGGTTTAACCCCAGCTGGCAGCTAAGTACCAGGCAGCTGCTTGCTTGTTGTACTTCAGTGAGATGGGGGAGAGACTCAGGTAATAGTGAGGGGGGAAAAAATGTGGGTTGGGATGATGACACTTTAACAGATAAAGCAAAAGCTGCACGTGCAAGAAGAGCAAAAGAGGGAATTCATTCAGTGCTTCTGATGGGCAGGCAGGTGTTCAGCCACTCCCAGGAAATCAGAGCTACATCAAACACCGCAGCTACCTGGGAAAACAAGCACCATCACTCTGAATGTCTCCCCTTCATTCTCCTTCCCCAGCTTTATATGCCAAAAGGTATGGAATATTGCTTTGTGGTCAGCTGTCCTGGCTGTGCCCACTCCCGAGTTCTTGTGCACCCCCAGCCTTCTTGTTGGTACGATGGGGTGAGAAGCACGAAAGGCCTTGAGGCTGTGCAAACACAGCTTAGCAATAACTAAACCATCTCTGTGTTATTAACATCCAGCAAAATCCAAAGCACAGCCCCATGTTAGCTGCTCTGATTCAAATTAGCTCTACCCCAGCCAAAACCAGCCCAGGTTATAGCATATGACACCTGTGGGAATGGGTCTTTAGCATTTTTAGTGTAGTCACAGGATCACATATGAAAACATTATCGTTTCCCTAAAGAAACATTTTAGTTTTAGAAGCCTAAGCACTGCACAGTGCTATTAACAATTCCTCTGGTTGCCTTCTACTTTCCACTTAGAGCATCTGCTGGTGCTGTATTAATATAGAAGCCAACTTCAGTCTGTGCAATTGTTCTTTCAAACCAAAATAGTATTTTTTTTCTATTTTATTATTTGGGCAACTTTTTAATAAGGGAGCTTATATATTGTGAATGTATACATAATTGCAGCTAATCAATATTGACAGTTAAGTCTTTGTTTGAGTAAATGTTCATTCAGGAGTTGGATACAATTCAGTCTGCTGGAAACAAGAAAGAAAGATCTGTACAATTTTCTCCCAAATCAGTCAGATTTTAGCAATGACTGGAGCTTGATGTGTGAACGAATTCTGCATGTGACATTTGTTTAAATCTACCCTATCTATTAAAATCAATGAAAATTCTTGTGTTGCCTTCAGTGGATTGAGAGCCATGTGAGTTGGCAGCAGATTTCTGCAGGCAGATGCTGTGCTTGTCCACCCAAATGGGTACCTTACTGAGCATTCACAGGGTGCTGCTGTGTTGGATATGGCATGGGCAGATCTGATGCTCTATGAGGGAGAAAAGTGGATTTTTGGCAAAACACAAACAAAAATTGGGATTGGAATGAATTAGAATCTTCTGTGTGTGTCTGCCAGGTATGACAGCCAGTGAAAGTTCCTGTTCCTTGACAAACTCCTGATCTGTGAATATGGGGTGAATGCCACTTGTTTACATGCTAACTCATAATGGTAGCTGGGGAGAGAGGGAAAAGGGAAAGGAGATTGACACATCTCTAGGCATCAGAATTAGTCAGCACATCTCCCTGAGCATGCTCTGCAATTGCTGGTGAGAGCAGTGTTTCCCTAGGAAACAAATTCATGGGAGCTGTGTAGAGCAGCAGTATAATATTGTGCAGTGAATTGTCCTCTGGAGAAGCTTGCTTCTGTAGAGAGCACCTGGGGAAATCAGCTGGTTAATTTGAGCTAGGGAAGGCAGATGCCTAGAGCTTGGATATCCCACACTGTCCTTCATTCCCCTGCCATTCCTTCCAGCTGACCTGCTTACCTACTGCTGCCTGTCCTGCTCCTGGGAGCCTGCATCCTTTAAATGGCTTTTCCTTCTGCCCTGTGAATTTGCCAAGGTACCGTGGTTGTTTGTATATGGGAGCTACTGGATGTCTAGTTCCAAATATATGTATTGTTTAACCAGATGTTAAACTCACCAATAAAATACTGGAGCTGGTAATCATTCTTTTTTGTTCCCTTTGTGCTTCATTAGCAGTTCCCATTGCCTGTGCTGAAAGTGGCTCTGTTGCAACTGGTGTTTTTCCCATTTTACTCCTCAAGGCCTGAAATCCTGCCAGGGTCTACAGGCTGTGATAACATCCCAAAGACCTCAGTTACCTCCTTCTCCTATTTCAAAGTTCTGAATACAGGTGTGGTAGGATTTGTGACCTTACTTCACCTCATGAGCTCTCCCACAAAATTCCTGAACCCAGACAGTTTCAGAGATACAGAGGTATGGGAAGGCAAGTATAAGATATGACATGAGCAGTTAAATTCCATTCTTTAGATACAGCTGATTTTCTACTCATTCTGCTGGAAATCACCCTACTCCTGTGGAACACTCTAGGATTCCTTTGCAGGAACCTTGTTAACTGCCTGGTGCTGTGAGTTTTCCTGGAAAGTGCTATGATGCACAATGCTCCCACGTGGAGGAGAGATGTTCCTTTCCTGACAGAGGCTGGAGACTGACTCTGGCAGATGAGAGGTGTGGAATCACTAACTGCAGCAAGCTAGATGAAACCTGGAAACAGTGGTTTGATCCAAAGCCCTTCTCAGAGGGCTAGAGGTCATGGGAATGGAAAATTTCCAAAAAGCAAAGAAACTAGATATTGGCATGAGGAGCTGGAAAGCTGTGCAAGAAGTTCTGGCTGAGATGGAGAGATGAGTATCATTCTGGGATCAACCTGAGAGCTTGTTCTGGGGGTCCTGGGAACAGGGTCTGATTTAACTTTGTGATTACTTAGGGTTATCAGGAACAGTACAGGAACATGGGAGGTGGGATCAGGGGGAGGGCAAAGAGTACCAGGGGGCCCCACAGGAGCTGCTTGAGCTGGGATTATTTATGAGGAGGATGCCATTGGAACCTTCCCCTGAGCAGATCAGAGGGACAAGGAAGGGGGAAGACCAGGGCTGGCAGCTGTGCAGACTGGGGCTGCTTTTCAAATGGTCCTACTGCATCAAAACCAGCTTTTTAAAAGGAATAGCATGTTCAGAATGGCATCTAAGTGAAACTGCAGGGCTGAGTTGGGATTGCAGCTCCTCTAGCAGTGTGCAGAGGGGTCAAGGTGGTAAAGACTGAAGTGTACATCTATTTTCAGCTGCCATTCAAGATGCTGGACTCCTTCAGGTGGGCAGTATGATCCAGGGCCTTGGACATCCTCCTGGTTTGCAGGTGAGTGATGCACCAAAGGGAAACTGGCAGCACTCTGTGCTGATGTAATTCATGCAGCAGCACTTACTGCTCCCTGAGGCATGTGATGTGCTCTGTGCAACAGTAATAAAACACAACACCAGGAAGCTAAGGATCTCCAGTAAAATAATAACCCCAGTTTTTGACAGAGATAGAGAGATATTTGGTTAGCTTTAAGTGCTGTAAGCTGCTATTTGTAGAGGCTGAATTAAATAAAGTTACAGGACTCTGTTGGGAAACCCATGAGAATTTTTGTTTAAAGAAGGGATGTAGCAGAGGTATTATCAGTAGCAGACTTCATCCCTAATCCAGAAGAACCAAGCCCTGAGATGGGAAAACAGAAGATGTCCATGCAGTACAATTTGGTTCAATACAAAACACTGGAGCCACTCTGGCTGAGCTATCTCTGTTAGCACAAGGGCTGGCTTGCAATGTAATTTCATCTGACCAGATGTGCACAGCTTCTCAGCAGAGCTGAGTGGCCCAAGTGCAGCACTGGGCTAACTCACCAGGCCAGGGAAACACACCCACAGCTCACCTGAAGCACTCCTTTGGCTCCTGGCCGTAGCAGCATCAGCAGTAACTTCCTCCAGTTTACACTTCTGGGCTGCAAAGGGAACTGAATCACAGCTCCCAACCTGTGCTTTCTGCATTCTTGCTGAGCCAACCTGAGTAAAACAGACAGCTTTTCTCTCACCCTTGAACATGACATAAGTGACAGGGCTGCTGCATTGTGATGGCAACCAAGCTGCAGGGACCATTGTGGTGGTACCAGTTACAAAGCCCCAGGTTTAGTGCTTGGCTTCCACATCTTGGCAATAAACACACCTTACTGGAGGCCAGCTGCATGCAGGTCAATAAGCAGAGAAATTTAAAACTAATAATTTAAATAAAATTACCATCATCAGAAGATCTGAATAGTAGCCTGCAGAAATGCATGCTAGAACTTATAAAAATAAATGTATCCTGATCTAATAAAAATCACTTCATCTAGGTTACTACTTCAAAAAGCTTTTCTAAAACTTCTTACTCAGGGAATCTTAGATCATGTTGTGTGTGAGCTGCCTTTCTGATTTAGCTGCTGCTGCTGTTACAACCTGCCTTCTGGAGCTCCTATTTACCACACCTGGTGTACTGTGCCATCCTGCCTGACCTCCAGTGAGTCAACCCTTTTCCCTGATAAAAGTCAACCTACAAGGAATCCAGGAACACGTCTCTAAAACAGCTAGATTGCCTCAAGACAGTGAATAAGTAATTAACAAATTATGGCTTTCTGATGTTCTGTGCATGGGTGTTATTTGAGTAACAAATAAGTTAAAGTAATTTTAAAATGCTAAATTAATCATTAGCAGAAAGTCCAGACAAACTTGACAGATTAACAATAATAATAACAGTAACAACAACAATAATAATGATAATAATAACAATACCAATAATATTGTCTGAAATAATGTCCCTTTGTGAATATTCTGTCTTTTGGGAGTTCTAAAACACCCCAGAAACAGATAGGATAAATCTCTGTATTAGTAGAAAGCTGTGAGTGAACCATTAGCTCTTTTTTCTTACATAATTCAAATGTTGTCTGCAATTCAAGTATAGTTCTAATTAAAATAGTGTCTTCCAACAATTTGGGAAGCAGTGCTCTGGCAGCATTTGGGTTTTTTTATTTGATGCCAGGATTCATTGCTGGTGTCCCAGTCTGAGTAGGCAGCAGTATCCTCCTCCTGTGTGACACTTCAAGGGGCTGTTTATATCTCCTGTCTCTCTCTTCCTCTCACCTACATCAAGGGCTCCTCCACCTTTTAGAAACCATGCAATTCCCTTGTTAGTTGTCATCTCTCCTTTCTTCTGGCCCTTATTATAAGCAGTACTTGTAGATAACATGGCTTTGCAAAGACTTGGTGAGTTTTTAAATTAATCAGTATCCCTTCTCTCAGTTCCCTCTGATGTGAGTTTTCATTTTATGAATTCCACCACTGGTGGATTTGTTATTGAGTTCAGCAGTTTTAAGCCTTTTCTTTCTAGTACT